GAAACATTATAAAAGAGGAAAGCTAAAGACTGTTGATGATGATCAGCATCATCATTATCATCATCTAAATAAATGGCAAACATGATGATGATGATGATGATGATGATGATGATGATGATGATGATGATGATGATGATGATGATGATGATGATGATGATGATGATGATAGCAATGATGATTATGATGATCATTTTTAATTCTGAGAGAATTAAAAAGATCTACAAACAATTAATAAAATCTGAGATTGTTGTAAGTATATTCTTTATTAAAGATACATACAAACTTATAATAAACAACAAAACCTTTATTTTTTAAATGACAACATGGATTTATTATATAAAAGTTTATATATAAAAAACAATATATTCTTGAATATTTATATACATTTTTATTAAAAATGAATCTCATTTAATAAGAAATTTAGATTTATCATTATATAACAAACATGTCAAAAAACTTTTTTCACAGAATTGAATTTAATCTTATTTACAAATTTAAAATTAATTTTAATATGATTTAACTAATCTAAACTTTTATATAAAATTATATATATATTTAAAATAAATTCATAACTTCTAAAAACAAATTTATAATATTAAAGTACCCACTTGTTCATAATACTTCGTCTTACTAATGATACTTAAGTATAAGAACGAGTAAGCATTTAAAATTAAAATAAATATCTTACACATCTTAGCAAATGTTTAAACTCTTCTTCTTCAAAATCACTGTTTCCTATCTGGAAATGTATTTTTTCTCACACCTATGATAGGTGTGAAAAAAAGGATAGGTGCTGCTAATTTTTTTTAAAGACAATAGTCAAAATAAAATTGAATTATTTTATCTATTGAAAGTTTTTAGATAAGATTATTATTTAAAATGATTATAGTTACAGTTTTATAAATTGTAACGTTGCAAAAATTAAAACTTATTTACTAATTTTATGAATTTTAACGAACAAAAAATTATTAAAATTATTATTATATAGATATTCGTTTTATTTCAATATATTTTTAAGTTGCTATTTACACGTATTAAAGTAGATTAAACTTTGCCCTTTATTTATCAAATTTAAACAACGCTAATCCATTTTTAGGTTTCGCGCTATGATAAATATCAAAATTAGTCAGGCAGCAGGGTTGCCAGGTTTTTCGGCAACAAGTCACTTTTTTAAAGCGTTTTATCTCAAAACTCAAAAATTTGGAAATAAAACAAGATGATTCCAACGTTGCGAATTGTCAAAAAAATTTCGGACACTACCCCCTCCCCCTTATTATGTTACAGGGTTATTTATTCTTATATGCGCGTCTATTCATTTTAATATGCGCCTTTCACTAGTCAATTCTAGGTCGTTTAGGTTGAAAATTTGATTATTTAAAAAAAATTTATTACAAAGTGTTCAGGACTATTATACAGGCAATATTATGAAAAGAAGAAACTATTTGGTGTACGTCCTGATGAGAAAATCAATTTTTAAAAGGGATCAGGGCAACTTTTTCCCCCTCCCCTTGCTCCCCTTTATTTATTAAAAAAAAAAATATGCCATCTTTAGAAAAATCAAGCATCAGTTACATATTCAAAAATTCAATAAAAAATATCTTGGCGTTCAAAAGATATAACCATTTAAAGTAAAACTAGTCAAAGTGTTACTAAATTTATTATGTATGTATGTATATGCTTTAGTTAAAAATCTAACATATTTACTATTTATTTGCATTAAAACTAGCATAATTAACATAGTTAACATGCCAAACAAACCAAGGAATCATTTCTCTTCAAGAAAACTTATTTGTGTTTGCTGTGGTGATAAGAACTTAAAATGCATTGAACTGGTAACTGGAAATCCTTTACTAATCTTGATTCAACTGTATGCCAACACTAACTATAATATGACACTTGTTTCCAACCCTATTGGGTTATGTCCAAGCTGCAAGATTTGTTTGTACTCAGCTAAAAAAGGAGAAACTTTATCACTAGTTACTTTAGAGAGGTGGTTGCTCACATCAGAGAGAATAAAGTTACTTCCGAGATTTAAAGGTAATACTTTTACTTATACTTACTTATGCATATAATAAAAGCTATAAATAATATGAATAAACATTTGTTTATATATATAAATATAGGTGAGACAGTGTCAACATGTGATTGCCTGCTCTGTATCATGTCAAGAGATAAATCCAAATCTATAAACCTTCAGGTAATTTATAAAGAACTCATATATGTAGCTCAATTATTTATGTTAAAAACATTTATAAAATTATAACTTTTATTATAGTTTAATAAAGTATATTTTAAATAAGTATAGTTTTTTATTGTATTATGTATTAAACATGTACATTAATGACCCTGAAGTACCAAAGGAGGTTATAGATAAAATTTGTTGTACTTGTTATCAGAGAATTGGATCTGGAATTCAACATCCCTGTAATAAGAGAGACATTGTACAGAACCTAAAAACACTGCTAATGTCAACAGGTAAGATCTTAACTATAGTTTTTTTAAACCTAAATTTTTACGTAATCCTAAAACATATTTACAAATTTTCAGGTTTAAAAACAGTTGAGCAAGTACTTAGCAAATCTGTGAAAGAAATTCAACAATTTAAAAATATTGAGTTAGACAACACTAGTTACATTGTCGACTAGAGGAACTCCTTTAAGTCTGCAGATAGGGAAAAAGCCAACCCTTAAAACTATCTCTACCCAAACTTTCTATAATATCAAAAGAAAGCATGATATGTCAGACTGTACTATTGATTTAATAGCAATGGAATTAAGAAAAGATTTGCTTAGATTAGGTGTGGAATCTAATTCTTCCAAAAAAATTAAGATAATGTCACATGCCTTAGATAACTATTACTCAGTGGAAAAAGTGGAATTTCTATCCAAAAATAAAGTTAACTATTAACTAAAGACTATTAACTAATTAACTAAAGATGGCATATTTTTTTTTTTTTTAATAAATAAAGGGGGGCAAGGGGAGGGGGAAAAAGTTTACCTGATGGCCTTTAAAAACTGATTTTCTCATCAGGACGTACACCAAATAATTTATTTTTTTCATAATATTGTCTATATAATAGTCCTGAACACTTTGTAATAAATTTTTTTTAAGTAATCAAATTTTCAACCTAAACGACCTAGAATTGACTAGAGCTTTATTCATTCTTATATGCGCATTTATTCATTTTTATATGCGCCTTTATTCATTCTTATATGCGCATTTATTCATTCTTATATGCGCATTTATTCATTTTTATATGCGCCTTTACTCATTCTCATATGCGTTTTACATAAGCAAAGTAAAAAAGCAATTTGAATAAAAAAAAATCATTTAAGCAATTTGTTTTGAAAAAACAGTTTATTTTTTCAAAATAAATTTTTCTTATTTCTAGGTAAACGAGGTTAAAAATACTTAAAGCGAAGACTTTTTACATTCGACGATGGTTTATTTAATTTAGTTCTTTGTTTTCGATGATAGTTTATTTAATTTAGTATTAGTTCTTTGTAATTTTATTATTAAATTGCTTGATTGATTAAGTTATTATTTATCTAATTATTCATTTATCTAGGTTTAAATTTAGTTATTTATAATTATTATTAATACCAATACTTAATAGCTATACCATGAGAGGCTAGTGTTTGCCTAATAGAAAGACTCAAGTGGAATATACAATTGTCCATAACAAGCACCGGCGCCTCAACTTTTGCATTCCTAATTACTGGTGCCATCATTGTAGTTATGAAAGAACTTAACGACAAAATTTTGAACTGCGCGCTTCGATAAATTAAGAGAAGTGGAAATGCTTGTTGTAGATTGATTTCTTTCAATTAAATGCTTAAGCATTTCAATGTGCTCTTTTGTAACATTTTTTCTTGTTTTTCGATTAGTACTGTTCACTGTGCACCAGAAAAACCGCCAGGTTTTATGTCGTGGCACTCAAATGAAATCTTTTTTATTCAAGAGTATTTGTATTATAACAATAAAAAAAATGATTTTAAAAATCCAAACAAATTGCTAAGGGTCATAAATGGGGCAAAAGGGTAAATACAAGGGGGGCACAAGCCCATTTAGGTATGCTAGTTGCAAGTTACAAAAAAAAAGTTTTTAATTCAAAAGTATTTGTTTAATAAAAATAGAAAAAACCTTTTTTTAAAAAAAAAAAGTCAAGGGTTGTAAATGAGGCAAAGGGTAAAATGGAGGGGCCCTATGTCCATTTAAACATTTGAGATGCCCATTACAATAATTTTTAAAAATAAATCCTGCTTCAGAGAAATATGTCAAAGATACAGATAAATTTAACTCTTCTTTGATTAAAAATAACTATTGAGTCGATCTACGTATTAAGTGTTTTTGTCTACACATTCAAAACTATTTCTTGTATACTCAAATTTGAAACAAGCTATCTGCATTGCTCAGAAAACTGTACATTTATAACATAATCATACATGTATATATATATATATATATATATATATATATATATATATATATATATATATATATATATATATATATATATATATATACATATATATATATATATATATATATATATATATACACACAATATAAATATACATATATACATATAACTATATAAATAAGTTTATAAAAAAAATCAAATTCTTTTTGCTCCAAAATCAACTACTGCTGATAATAGCCTGTCACCATGTTCGGAATGCTCTATTTGTCTCTTAAACCTTGTCAATGTTGGCTTAAACTTTGCATGAATACTTTCTCCACATTGTTCAGCAAAGTTACCCAATCCTTTGTTATGGTGTTCCACATATGGCTGTACATGACACAGTAGAATGTGGACTTTCCATGTTGTATTTATTTGTTTATTTAAACTTACTGCAACTTCTTGTGCGGAAAGAAATGAATTCTTTAAATTTGTTATTGCTTCTTTGAAGCCAGTTTGTAAATTGCTGGAAAAGCAACAATTTTTTACATTTCTAAAATCTCTCTAACACTGTACAATTGGAATCAATTGACTTTAGCCAATCATCAAATCCTGGCCAGACATCTAACAAAAAATTTCCAAGCAGTGAAACAAAACTAATTAGCAAATGAAGTTCAGGTGGAGGAATGACCCGGTGGGAAGTCGGCTAGCGAATAGCTAGCTATAATCGCTACGATAAATACAGCGATTTGGCCACGAGGATCGCTAGCTTTTTTAAGTTAGCGAAAAGATATCGATATTTGTAAAGACAAAGACAGCGATTTGGCTACGAGGACAGCTAGCTTAATAAGCTAAAGACTCACAGGCTATTGTAGCTACCGTCATATCGTAATAAAATCGCTATCAAAAATGTTTTGGTATGTAACTATCAATCAGCTATAGATTTGTAGATATTTTGTAGCTAGCTACAAAGCTACGATATGTAGCTAGCGACACATTGCTACAAAATCGCATTGTTTAAAGTTCAATTATTCTCATAATTAAAATAGATTCAACACTAAAAATCGAATTTTTAAAGATGTTAGAGGCATTAGTAAAGAATAAAATAAGAAAAAAAAAATCGCTTCAAAATCGCTATTAAGCTAGCTAGTCGCTCGCTAGTCGCTAGCTCATTTCCCACCGGGGAGTTGCTCAATTAAAGTATTTGGATCTAAATTAATATATAAAATTCAAGGATTGATGCAGTTCATAAACTCTTGCATGGATGATTTTACTGAGTTATTTTCTAAATATTTATTGTACCAATAATCAATACTGCCAAGAGTTCGTTTTGTCCCTAAATTTAATGTAGATATTCCTTCACACCATGAACAAGCTTTTTTTCCAGAATGTCCTGATAAACCAAACAGTGCGTTTCCACATTTCAAGTCAAAAGCAACATAAAAACTGACATCTTGCAAATTTAATTTTTCTATAACAAGTCTCAAATTATAGTTAGTTTCAGCAATATCTTCAACAATAGCTAAAAATTGAGACCGTTGAACGCCACTATTTAAGTACTCGTTTGAGTCATTATCTTTTTGACAATCAAAGACATTGATGATTACTTTAAAAAATGAACCTCCACATCCAATGAAATTCTTATAAAGGCTGAAGTAGTTATCTCATCTGGAAGAGTTAGACTGGTTCTGGGGCTATTTCTCAAAAGGGTTTTCCACTCTACCTAAATAAATATACATTTATAAACAAAAGAAAAAAAAGAAAAAAAAATGGAAAAAATCATTAACCTTCAACTTTTCATGGAAAAAATCATTAACCTTCAACTTTTCAAGTCTTCTGTCAACCGTTTGCTTGCTCTATAACTCTGTTCTTTTTTTTACTAGTAACTCCCAACTTAATAGTGGTTGCTTGCAGCCTTGTTGGGAGTGAATGCAAATAAAAAAAAGTAGGGTTTAAACCACGCAATTTTAATAAGTCAAGTACAAAATTTGATGTATTTTGAACATATAAAAGATCTCGTAAAATTAAATGGTCTTTACTATCAATAAACTCGCACTTCTGCACACTGTAGTAATTAGAAATATATTCTTCTAATTCAGAAAGACGACCCAAAATATTAGGCTCAATGGAAAGCTTATTTCCTAAACCTTTGCGTAAAGTAGAAAGCATCTCTTTTGTTTTTTTATTTGAAAGTTCTAACACAATTTGTAATTGCTTTATTATTTTGATGGAAAGCTGCTTAATAGAAGTTCTTTTTGATTTGTTTTCTGGTGTAACAACTGTGACCTTTAGCGGATTTCCTCCTGTAGATAAACAAAATGTTGATCCGTCAACCAAACTTTCTGAGCCATTTTACTTTTTATAATTCCAGAAGCAACCTACGTAAAGTTTTCACAAAATGAAATTTGCATAAAAAACTAAAAACTTATAAACAAAGTATAGTTTTTTTTACCTGTTCAGCTTGAAGAGAACCTAGAAGAAATGACAGTGTAATGATATTTGCCACAGCACTGGTGGGTGTACAGTTATGAGAATAACCAGGTGCAGGCAATGAATAGCAAAAAGAACATATACTTGACTTAGTTGTCGGAAAATTAGTTATCTCATCTGGAAGAGTTAGACTGGTTCTAGGGCTATTTTTCAAAAGGGTTTTCCACTCTACCTAAATAAATATACATTTATAAATAAACAAAATAGTAAAAAGAAAAAAAAATGGAAAAAATCATTAAAATTACCTTGGTAACCTTAGCTCCCCATTCACCACGAGGTGAGTCTCCCTTTTTGAGTCTGTAAAGATTTCTTCGGCAACCAGGACAAACAACTGATGGATAGCAATCGTTGTTCATCGAATATCCAGAAAAGATAAACATTTGAATTTGTTCTTCTAAGTTTTTATTCATTTTTTTCAATGATTTTGATCTTTCGCCATATTTTTCCCAGCAACAGCAACAAGTAGAATTCATTTTTAAGTGAAAGAAATACAACTCCTAAATAGCACGACCTTCCGCAATTTGAAAATTTTTATACTACCATCTTTCTAATCTCTAAATTTTTTTTGATTATTTAGTACAGGGGGTAATTAAATCTATAAGCCCATCTAATATGAGGTTACAGTATAATTAATATAATAAATAGCTTATATTTAGTTAACTATATATAAAAATTTGTTAAAAATTTATTTTTGACATATTTAATTTTATTTTTAAACTATTATATTAAACAATATATTTTACAAAATAAATTTTGTTACCTCCATTAAAAAATATCTATCAGTGGTTTCCAAGGATAAAAACATTTTTTTAAACATTTTTTTCAAGTCAAGATCCGAAAAGATTAAGAAATTTTATAACCATTTTATAATATATTTATATCAAAAAAGGTATGATAGCAACGCGTTTCGATTTCAAAAAATATATTTTCTAAAACAATATATATAATACTTTCATAAAATAAGGACTTGGTTTGAGTGCCACGACAAAAAACCTGGCGGTCTCTCTGGTGCACAGTGTGCTATTTTCTATTATATCCATAGGGCTGTATAATTTGATATTAATAATAATTATAAATAAGTAAATTTAAATCTAGATAAATGAATAATTAGATAAATAATAACTTAATCAATCAAGCAATTTAATAATAAAATTACAAAGAACTAATACTAAATTAAATAAACCATCGTCGAATGTAAAAAATCTTCGTTTTAAGTATTTTAACCTCGTTTACCGGGAAATAAATATTTGTTTTGAAAAAATAAACTATTTTTTCAAAACAAATTGCTTAAATGATTTTATTTTGTTCAAACTGCTTTTTTATAATTGCTTTTGTAAAACGCATATAAGAATGAATAAAAGCGCATTTAAAAATGAATAAATGCGCATATAAGAATGAATAAATGCGCATATAAGAAGGAAAAAAGGCGCATATAAAAATGAATAAATGCGCGTATAAGAATGAATAAAGGCGCATTTAAAAATGAATAAATGCGCATATAAGAATGAATAAATGCGCATATAAGAAGGAAAAAAGGCGCATATAAAAATGAATAAATGCGCATATAAGAAGGAAAAAAGGCGCATATAAAAATGAATAAATGCGCGTATAAGAATGAATAAAGGCGCATATAAAAATGAATAAATGCGCATATAAGAATGAATAAAGGCGCATATAAAAATGAATAGACGCGCATATAAGAATGAATAACCCTGTAAGATAATTAATGAACAGTCTCTAAAAAAGAGAACAATATGTGCTTTTAAAAAAGTAACTTTTTAGATAAATTTAACAAGGTTGCGTCAGCAAGTGAAGATCATCTTCTTTCTTGCATGCATCAGTTTTCCAACCTTTGCGATCATTGACTCAGGCAGAGCCGTGGCTAGACTACCCCACACACGAGCTGAGGGAGAGTGCTCAGCAAATTTAGGGTCCCTTTTTGAAACAATAGGAGTCTTTTTAATTTTATTTTTTTTAGTATTACCTAGTGGAAAATTTTTTAAGAAATTGCTGTCCTAATGACAAGTTTTTGGGGGTACCCAAAACTTACTAGCCACGGCACTAGACTCAGCGATATTAAAGGTTTTGCAACAAATCTTTCGACTCATTAAATAAGATTTTATACGAATAACAGCAACCTGCACTTAGTTTGACAATTTCTTGACTATTTGTGCCGATTAGGTGAAGTAAAGGTAGCTAATATGGAACCTGGAATTGAAAAGCCATGAATTGATCTGTTCTCTGAAAGACTTTCTTTATTGCCCTTTGAATAAAATCATGAAAGCGAGTTTTCACCTTTTCAACTGATTCCTCAGCATTCAGTTTTGCAATTGGAGATCGCTCTTGAATGTAAATTTGACACTTTAAGGAGAAATTGAAGTTGTTGAGTGACAGCAGATACGCATAGCTTCTTATTGTTCACATGATCTAGAAAAATTTTTTTTTTTTGAAACGGATTCAATTTTTTTCTCTTTTAATTAGAGGGGCTGTTTTTACTCAATAAAATGTTACTCTTAAATGTTGCTCAGGGCTACCATAATGTGCGTAGATTAGTGCGGTAGAGGTAACAAAGAGCTTGTTCAGATGCATCAGAGCATTTTTTTACTCAGGCAAGTTTTTTTCCTTACACACTTCAATAATTACGACAGTTTTCATATGACTTTTTGTTTGACATCGCCAACAAGTTATTTGCTTATGACGTTAATTCAAGTAATTATTTTCTGGTGGTATATTATAATTTGTTATAAGCTATTTTAAATACAATGATTTCAATATATAAACAAAAACGTTTAAATTTTTTTCCTGAAATCCCGTGGAATGTTTTCTGCTATGCTAAATGCTAAATTTCGTAAGATTCAAAATTTTATCGTTTTGCCAAGCGGAAACCAATCCGAATCCCTGATCTTTACCTCCCAGATAACAACTTTTCATAAAAATATGTACTTTAAATGAGGATTATGTTTAAAAGAACTATTTGCTTCTAATAACAAAAATTTTTCTTTACAGCAATACAAACTTATAACTATGGTATAAAAAATAAATTTTTTAAATGGTTTAGTTCCTATCTAAAAAACCGTAAACAAGCCTTATATTACAATAAAACATACAATCCCCTTAAAATCGTCACATGTGGTGTTCTCCAGGGGTCTATTCTAGGACCTCTGCTTTTTCTAATCTATTTAAATGACATATTTTTATCCTCCAGTATATTGAATTTCATTCTTTTTGCAGATGACATTTAAGCTTTCTATACCCACTCTAACATTACTACACTTTTTAATACAGTAAATAAGGAGTTGAGCGATTGGTTTAAAGCAAACAAACTTTCTGTCTACATTGAAAAAAAGTAATTATATCTTTTTCACAAAATCATACAACTCAGACAAACTACCATTAAAACTTCCAGATATTCTATTAGACAAAGTTAGACTAAATCGAGTGTTCTCAGTTAAATATTTCGGGGTATTATTAGCTGAACATATTAGCTGGAAAGACCACATTAGCATATTAAAAAACAAAATATCTAAAAACATTGGAATTATGCATAAAACCAGATATATTTTAAATAATGCATGCCTTTAAAGTTTTTATTTTGCATATATACATAGCTATGTTAACTACTGCAATATTGCCTGGGCTTGTACCTACTAATCAAAACTAGATTTAATATATAAAAAACAAAAACAAGTGTGCCGTATATTAACAAATGCAAATAGAAATGCCAATTCTAAACATTTAATGAGGGAACTGAGAGTTCTTAATATCTACAAACAAAATCTATATTGCACTCTTCAGTTCATGTTTAAACTCAAAAATAATCTGGTCCCTGAAGTCTTCCATAACTATTTTCACCTTATTAATCACAAATATCAAACAAAATACTCTATCAAGAATTACTATATTCCGAAAACTTCTTTAAGACAATCTAAATTCTCAATATCCAGCAGAGTTCATTTCTAACAAACAATATAAAAATATTATACTCATTCCAAAATTTTAAATGCGTTGTAAAGCAACAGCTACTAGACCTCAACATTAATGAAACAATCTCTTACTTTTAAAATTTTTGCTAAATTTTAAATTTTTTCCTTTTTCAATTTAATCTTCACCTTTTCTTGAAATTCTATTATATTACTTGCTTGGTTATTTAATGACATGCATTGTAAAAAAAAAAAAAAAATCATATGTATTATAAATATTTTATTATATTTGTATTTGGTTTATATTTTGTTATATTTTGTCAACGACAAAAATGGGGCAAAATGATAAGACTATTGTTTTCTACGTGCTCCAGTCATATATTTCACGGTAAAATGTTGTGCAAATTTATATTTATAATGACGAATACATATAAACAACAATAGCATTCTACCCTATTTGAAAATGAACTTTATAATCATTTTTTATAAAATTTGAACATTTTTACCTTTAATTGTAACTTAATAATCATTGGCAAAATGAGTTTTTTTCTTAAATATGTTAGGATCATCTTGTATTGACATTTTAATATAATTATATTTTTAAAATACTCAGCGCCTTACCCGTAATGTGTCTTTTTGTGAAAATACTTCAACATTTTTTTTATTCAGTTTAGAGTCTTAATATATGAATAGACCTTAGGTATAGCATAACTTTGTTTACATTTTTAGACACAATACCTAACTATTTACAATTCCCATTTAAAATTGACAAACCTGAATATTTTGTACTTTTGGACTATGATAATTAGTCAACCACTCACTTTTGTGCAACTTTTTCATATTTTTAGAGAGAGCTTATGGGTTACGTCTGATATTAACTAAAAGATTATGTGCAACTTCTTTCCTTTCTAAAATAAAGTATTCAAAGATGGCGAAAACCCAATTTCTAAATATAATTTCAAAATCGGATATTAAATAATAATAAATATTTTTAAAAAACCCTATAATTTCAAAATCGGATTCCGAGTGAACGAAACATTTTCGAAACATTTTTTCCGTAATAAATTTGAATTTATATTCTGAGCAATATATAATAAAACAAGTTGTTACACAAATATTACTAAGTTGTTATATAAATATTACAAAGTTGCCATATAAATATTACTAAGTTGCTATATAAATATTACTAAGTTGTTATATAAATGTTAGCAAGTTGTTATATAAATATTAACAAGTTGTTATGTAAATATTAGCAAGTTGTTATATAAACATTAACAAGTTGTTATAACAACTTGTTAATATTTATGTATATATAAATATTAACAAGTTTTTATATAAATATTAACAAGTTGTTATATAAATATTACCAATCTGTTATATAAATATTAAAACATTGTTGTATAAATATTACTATATATAAGAATTGACAAGAAAAATTAGAAAAGTTGTTTTTTTCGTGGGCGCGATAAAGGTATAAGTTACTCTGGTCTATGCTAGTTTAGTCTGAATAAATTTGTAAAACGAACAAATTTCATTTTTTGTTTTAACATAAAAGATAGATATTAGCATATATATTAATTTTTTAAATATTTTATGCTTTTATTTTTTTTTAACAGGGAGTTACATGGGTTAACGCGTAAACATTATACAATTAAGATTTTGCGAGGAATTACTTTTTTCTTTTTGAA